CTTTTGATGGGATGCAGGTCTTAGTTTCGTAACCAATATAATTCCAATGTTTTCTTGAGGTCTGATAGAATTTAGATTTTTTCCACTATTTTTTCAGATATAATTGACATAACATTATATTAGTTTCAACTGTACATGATTTGAGATATATATATATAGATATATAGATATATACACACACACTGTGCGTATATATATGCAATATATTGCAATATGAACACAGTAAGTCTAGTTAACATTCGTCACCACAGAAAGCTAGGAACGTTTTTCTTGTGATGGGAACTTTTAAGATCTACTCTCAAAGCAACTTTCAAATATATAATACAGTATTATTAACTATAATCACCATGCTGTACATGACATCCCCATCAGTTATTTATCTCATTAAGGGCTTTGTACCTTTTGATCTCTTCACCCATTTCACCCATCCTCACCCCCTGCCTCTGGCAACTATCAATTTGATCTCCGTTTAAATTCTTTTTTTTTTTTTTAATTTCACATATAGGGGCACCTGGGTGGCTTAGTCCTTAAGCGTCTGCCTTCAGCTCAGGTCATGATCCCAGGGTCTGGAGATCAAGCCCCGCATTGGGCTCCCTGCTCAGCGGGAAGCCTGCTTCTCCCTCTCCCACTCCCCCTGTTTGTGTTACCCCTCTCACTGTGTTGCTCTCTGTCAAATAAATAAATAATCTTAAAAAAAATTAAAAAATTAAAATTTCACATATAACTGAGATCATAGGTATTTTTTCCTGCTTGACATATCTTGCTTAGCATAATGCCCTCAGGCACAATCTATGTTGTTGTAAATGGCAGGATTTCCTTTTTTTTTATGGCTGAATAATATATCCATATATATATCCCCCCCATATTTTCTTGAGTTAATGTTTTCATTTCCCTCCAGTAAATACCAGAAGTGGAATTGCTAGATCATATGGTAATTCTATTTTTAATTATTTAATTTTTTGAGGAAGCTCCATACCATTTTCCATATTGGCTGTGACAATTTACTTTCCCACCAGGGGTTCCCTGTGCTCCACATTCTCACCAATACTTGTGGATTTTGTTTTGTTTGTTTTTGATAATAACCATTTAACAGGTATGAGATAGTATATCATTGTGGTTTTGATTTGCATTTCCTGATGATTAGTGATGTTGTGCATCTTTTCATGTACCTGGTAGGCATTTGTATATCTTCTTTGGAAAAATGTCTATTCATATCCTCTGTCCATTTTTTAATTGGATTGGGTTTTTTTTTTTTTGGTATAGATTTGTATGAATTTTTTATATATTGTAGACATTAACCTCTTAATAGATACACGATTTCAAATATTTTCTCCAATTCTGTAGGTTGCCTTTTCATTTTGTTATTAATTTCCTTTGCTGTGCAGAAGCTTTTGATATAGTCCCATTTATTTGTTTTTGCTTTTGTTGTCTTTGCTTTTAATATCAAATCCAAAAAATAATTGCAAAGACCTATGTCAAGGAGCATAGCACCTATATTTTCTTCTAGGAGTTTTATGGTTTAAAGTCTTACATTCAAGTCTTTAATTCATTTCAAGTTGATTTTTATGTATGATGAAAAATAGTGATCTAGTTTCATTCTTTTGCTTGTGGTTGTTGTTTTCCCAAGACCATTTATTGAGGAGATTGTTCTTCTCCCAGTGTATATTCTTCATAAATTAATTGACAGTATATGTATGGCTTTATTTCTGGGCTTTCTCTTCTGTTCCATTGATAGATATATCTATTTTTATGCCAGTACCATACTGTTTTGATTACTGTAGCTCTGTAATATAGTTTGAAATCAGGAAGCATGATGCCTTCAGCTTTGTTCTTTCTCAAGATTGCCTTGAGTATTCAGACTTTTTTTTAAATTTTATTTTATTATGTTATGTTAGTCACCATACAATACATCATCAGTTTTTGATGTAGTGATCCACAATTCATTGTTTTCATATAACACCCAGTGCTTGAACATCTTGGTAGTCATTTGTAATAAAAAAAAATCCACATCTCACATCTCACATTGTGTGTAAAGAAAAAAATTCAGTTAGATTAGAGATACAAAAGTAAAAAAAAACAACTATACAAGTATGACAATGAAATATGGGTGAAATTCTCTTGAATCTCAGTGCAGGGAAAGGCTTTCTAAGTTTTAAAAAATCCAGAGGCAATAAGTAAAAGGATTGATGAATTTGAGTATGTAAAAATATTTTTAAAGCTTTTGTATTGTGAAAATCGACATCAAATAATCAGTGAAAACTGTGAAACTGGGAAGAAACTTTTACAGTAATCAGAACAAAAGACTAATAGTCCTAATGGTAAAAAAGCCTTAAAACTGATGTGTTCTCATTTTCTGATTGAAAATGAGAAAAATACATGGACAGGCGATTCAACAGAAAAGATAGAAAAATGGTTTTTGAAAATATGAAAACATTTTCAAACTCACTCATGGTTAAAAAAAAATACAACCAAAACAATGAGATACTATTTCTCTCCAACAAATTAGAAAATAAAAATATGAAAAAAGAGTGTAGGGAAGGATTATCTCTCTATATATGGAAACTTGGAAGAATTCCTGCTAGAGTGGTCTGTGAAAGAGTAACAGTGAGACATTAGCTAAAATCATTAGAAAATGAAAGGTGATGTCCCAGGACTAGGCAGATGATGACAGTAATGAGATATGGTGGTTAATAAAGCTTGTTGACCTGAGATTCAGAGCTGGAGATTTTAGAAAAAAAAATGATTGTGTTACTTACATTTTGCTGTGCAACCAATTAACTAAAATTTGGGACCATAAAAACACTGCAAGTATTTATTGTTTCAGAGTTTCTGTCAGTCAGGCATTTAAGAGAAGCACTGCTTCAGGCTTCTGCCTTAGAAATTTCTCTTATGATAGTGCAACTTTTATGTCAGCCTTGACTGGGGTCATCAGAGTTTCCTTACTGAGCCTGGAAGATTTACTTCTAAAGTTGCTCACTCATGATTGGCAAGTTGATGGTGGTGGGTGGAAGAAAATCTCACTCAAAATGTGGACTTCGTTATAGGGCTGGTGGAGTGTCCTCAGGACATGACAGCCAGATTCAGAGCAAGTGATTCAAGAGAAAAAAGGCAGAAGCTTCAATGCCTTTTATGGCCTACTCTGAAAGTCACACTCTATCACTTCCCACAGTGTGGGCTAGGACTACACAGAAATGTGAATACCAAGAGATGAGAATTATTAGGGATTACATTTGAACATGGCTACTAAAAAGGTGGGCATATGCTCTAAATGTGACTTTGGAAATAAAAGAATACCTAGTTCATTTCCAAAACAGTGATATAAGGACTCAGAAAAATAAAGCCACTAGTGAGAAAAATAAAGCCACCATTGGGAGACACTATGAGGGAATTCATGCACTAATTACTACATCCAGGTGATAGCTGGATTTCAATTTGGACAAAATGAATGAAGGGACCATTCAGGTAATACGTTGACAGTATAGAGAATTTTATGTGTAACTCATACATAACATTGAATTTCAAGGAATAGAGTAATAAAATTTAAGAAGTTGACAGAAGACTACAAAAGAAGAAACAATGGAGATTTACAGGGCTTTACTGGATTAAGGTGTAGAAATAGAAAGATAACCTAGCAGTTTAGGAAGTTTTTTGCTGAGATAAAAAAAAGACATAATGAGATTAGTCCCAATGGATTCATTGCAGATAGTGGTAGCAAGGCTTTGAGTAATATAGGATATGACCCAGTGAGTTTCTGGAGCTTTCTCTACTTATCTGGGTAGGTAGAGCTCTGTCCAAGGGAAAATAAGGTCTTGGCTATAGTGCTTAGGCCTATACTAAAAGACAGGACTAAAAGTTTCTGGGAAATGTGGACTTAATCCCAGTTGTTCTGGTGGGAGGATTTCTGTTGCTCCCCTTGGAGAAAAGCTACTCTAGCTTTGAGTTAGTGTGCTTTCTTCTGTTAGGTTTTGATGGACTGAATGGTGGGGAAGCTGGGTGTCACATCAATATGTGGGCCTCTTCCCCAACCCTGAAGGTAGGATTAGGGGATTTAGAGGAGGAAACACGCTCTAACTTCCATTTTTGTGTATTTCCAATTATTTTGTAATTTCTATTGTGATTGAACGTCAACTGGAAGAACTTTTTAGAAGTGTTTAAGTTCCCAAAATGTAACAGAATGAAGGAGGGACTTTTTAAAATTAGTGATTTTTAATGGAATTATATTGTTTTTAAAGAAGATGATTTGTATGGTGGTAACTACTATTTTTTTAGTAGTTTTACTCGTTTTTATTACTATTTCTTATGAATTTTTTTTTATGTCCTAAAACATGATCAAATTTGGGAAAGTGTTATTACTAACATGTTGAGATCTGTCTACCTCTATATGTCAGCATACAAATGCATATATGTTGATGTAAGTAGTTAGACATATGTACGTGTTTTAAATTTCATGTTGTATATTAAATGTGTAATATTTATATGTAGAATATTAATATGTATTCTGTATATAAACTACTGTTTAATCAATGTTCTTAGTATTTAATTTTTTACTGGCTGATCATTTTGAGAAAAATTAATGTTAAATATACGTTTATTTTTTGAATTCTAACAATTCATGCATTATAACTTTTAGTCTATTGTAATAGGTATGTAGCAATACATGCTTTTTATATCTTGATGAATGATTATAGTTTAGATACTATCCTTTATTTATATACTATTCTGTTCAAATTCCCATAATATTATTATATTGCCTTTCTTTTATAGATTTGTCTGGAATTTTGCTTGGCCCATCCCTTGTAATTTTCTACTCTTCTGAATCATTATGATTTAGATAAGACTTTTTGAAACACTGTATTGTTGTGATTTTTAAAATACAGGAGTCTGTTTAAGTGATTTTTAAAACTTTACATTATGATTTCTAGTATATGTGAAATTATTCTTCTCACATATTCTGTATTTTCTATTGACTATCTCTTTTTTCCTTTTCTGCCTTATTTTAGATCAGTGGTTCTCAAGTGAGGCTATTTGTGGTTCTCCCAGCAGTCAAAACAGACTGAGGATTGCTACTAGCATCAACTGGGTAAGTCTAGGGATGCTGCTAAATATCCTACAAAGCACAGCGAACCCCATGCAACAAAGAACTACCTGGTCCAAAATGTCCATATGCTAAGATCAAGAACACTTGTTCCAAATTATACGTTCTATATTCTATTCATTTTTTTTTTACCTCTGTCAGTGTTAGACCTCTTAAGATTATTTTAGTTATTACTTAAAACAATCTTTAAAGGATGTTGAATTAATAGACATATTTATTCTCCTGTAGTACTAGAAAAGAGGCATTTATAAAGACTTAAACTAATGTGGTTAGTTTTCTCATCTTTCATATTGCTTTTAAATTTTTATTTTTATGATATTTTTAATCACCCCACACTGAGTTATTGTCAATATATACACACAGAATAGTCATGTGTATATATATACATATATATGTATACACACACACACACACACACACATATATGTATGTATATTTACCTATAGGTTTTACCATTTTCTTTACTTCTTATACCCCCTTCTCTCTGTCTGGATCTCCTTTCCTGCTTGCTGAGTTACACCCATGAGTAGCACTTTCAGTGGAGGTAGATGGGTGGCAATTTATCTGGCTTTCATTGTATCTAAAACTGTTTTTATTTCACTTACATTATTTAATGATTGTGTAGCTGGAATAAAATTATATTCATAGTAATTTTCCTTCGTCACTTTGAAGATTTTATTTCAGTAACACATTGTTGCTCTCTGTGATGAGTATGTTACTCCTTCATAGGTAATCTTATCATCAAATCTGATTTAGAACCAGCATTTTTTTACTTGCTAACTCAGTCATTTTTGATTCTGTGTGCCTTAGTGTTAATTAGCTCTTGACCCATGCTTGAGACCAATTATGGTTTTGTTGTTATTTAGTTAGATAACATATTTTATGTTGGTTCTGAAAATTATTGCTACTGTCTTATTAAATGGTATATTCTTTAAATTGTCTATAAGTTTATTAAATCATCATTAGAAGCCTAATAGACCATTTTTTATTCTCTGTAATTCAAATCCTATTTTGTATGTTCTATCTTATAATTTCTTTGGAGAATTATAACATATTTTTTGATTTTCACTTCATCTGTCTAGTTTGAACTTTTAATTCTCCATTAATTATATTTTTATCTTAAAGATTAAGATTTTTGGAATCATACAGATTGGAATGTCTGCTTAGCTTCATCAGATATACTTATTTTAATTTTTACAATGTCTTCATTTTCCCATACATATTCTCTACATTCTTATCACTTTTTACCTGACAGTAACAAGATGGCTACTCAATAACCAGTGTCAATTTCTCTTATTCTTAGGACACTAAGTTCTAAAATCTGAAGGAGGTCTCAGTTGTGGCCCCAGTTACAACGGTGGAAAAAAGGAGCTGTGCTTCATTCCAGTAAACTTCTCAGAAAGAGAGGCCCCAGAAAACCATGCAAGAGCTTAGAAAAGTGCATGTATAGTTGTAATGGGTAAACTGCCTCAGCCATTAAGGTGCTCTGCTCAGATCTCTTTCACAGGCTTTCACAGGGAGCATAGCTGACTTTCATCCTCCAGCTGTCACTCCACTGGTTCTATCACATTCAGACCAAAGCATGTTTCTCTTGGGCTCCACAGCCCTGCTCCTTCAAGGCTGCCCCAGCCAAAGATTAAGCCTGATATGGAGTACTAGATCCATTTGATTTCTCTCCACTTCAGGACTGACCAATGGGCAGCTCATTGGCCAGGTCAAATTTTTCTCAGAACTGGGATGTAGACTGATACACTTCCTACCCAGTCCTTTTTTTAACACTTGTTAAACTTGCATCATGATCTGAAGGCTCTCGATTCCTACTCCTGCTCCCATGGTTGGCTACCTGCTTTCATCTTGGAGTGAGCAAAGACACTTTCATTTAGTTTTTGGATACGTTGTACAAGAGATTTTGTATTCCCTATTTAGTTGGTCTAATGGGGATTTGGAAAGACCGCCGCTGTCACCATATTCCCCAAACTCCAACCATTAAACGTTTCCAGGTAAAGATCTAATATTTTTTATCAGATATATTATCCATATAATATCCATGTTCCAAACAAATACTGAGGTATATAACTTCTTACTTCTTCAGTAATTTTAGAACACATATTGGAAATGTGGATTCTAGAAAGTTACTTCTAAGCACAACTATAAGCAAAGAACAGAGAAACTGAGTTCAGGAAAGTTGATAGTATAATTGCAACAATATCAATAATTTTACCATATTTAATGGGCTGAATTTATATTTAAAGCAATTTTTAGACAGTTTCCACTGAGCTGACAATAAAATTATAAATAAGAGTAGAGGAGTCATAATATATTTATCTTTTATTCTAGGAATAAAAGCTTACTGTAGTGTTAATCTATGAGTTATTAGTTGTTAACATTATCACCTCCACAAGTAAGGGAACTTTTCTTGTATCCAGCAAACTGACAATTCTTAAAGTGAGGATATGTACTAAGAATTTAGTACAAAGACTATCAGTATCCACGAGCAACTGAAATGTGACATCCTTTATTTTAGCAAGTTATACTTAAGATATTCATTTGGTATGTATATTTTGTAGACAGAAAGAGAATAGTTATATTCAATTGGAAATTCTATACCATGGCACACAATTCTGACATAAAAGGAAATGGCATTGTAAAAATTGAAGTCATTTTGACTGAGAGAAGTAAAACAGAGGAAATTTCTAAGTAACAGAAAGCAGTTAAAGCTGCCCTTAGAGAACTATAACTTACTGACACTTAAAAGAGAGATAATAATTTGTGTAGACACTGAATTTGGCAGAGCTATGGGGATAATATATCTTTTTCAGTATCAAATATTATTTCATTTTTGATGCTAAGTCTTTCCTGCAATATTAACTTTTTATACTATTTTTTTTCCTCAATGACCTTGACCAACATGTGGGAAATAATCGGCCCCATCTTTTTAGGTCTTGAAGGGTTTGGTAATTTATCTTAAAGAGATGTCATTGTAGCAAATGTCCTCATTGTTGCTTGAAAGCTGTATCCTCCTTAAAAAAACAAAAACAAAAGTGAATGGTACATTAGGCAGATGTGAAATCATCCAAAACTATGAACTATTTTAGTATGCAGAATATTTTAGATTGCAACAAAATAAGCTAGTTTCTGTTTACATCCAGTGGGATTTTGTGAGATGAAATTTTTGTGAGATCCAATTCATCGTGGTTTATGAGGCAAAGGCAGAGTAGCCTGAGACCTAATCTTGATTTCTCCACATTTAACACATTTATTTTTAGAATTACATGTAAATGTTATCCCCCAAATTTCAAGCTGTTAAACACATTTGTCATGTGGCCTGTCACTAATTACATTCGTATTTGATTACCAAATTGCTCATATCATAGTCTTTAGATAATGTGTGTGTGTTTTTTTTGTTTGCAGTAGCTTTTGGGAATCCTTGCTTTCTCCAGTATACTAGGTGCACTGTTGACCGCTTAATTTTGAAATGAAAGTAAGTACCTAATACTTCATCTCTTTGGCTTTACAACCAATGATCTTACCACTCTAGTGAGTCTCACCACTCTAGTAAGTTTCTAGAAGAGGCTCTTTAATTGTTCCAAGAGAGCAAGAAATTCATTTTTTCTGAATTTCTAATAGAAATGGATCACTTCTTTACCCCTCAACACCTCAGACAGGAAAGGGGTCAGGAGAATTTCTGGGTAATATCATTAAATATTCCACGATTTCCTCTTTCCCACCACACTGACTAAACATGCCAGCAAAGCCATATTCAGTGATGTCACTAAAGGCAGATTTGCAGTGAAGCTAAATGAAGCTTAAACTTCAGGGCCCTACACATATGTTTACAATGACATACATTTTTGACAATTTACAATAGTAAGATTTTTCTGTTCTCATTCTTTAAAATGGCTTCTGGCAAATGCCCAGTGCTTACAAACATAGGAAGAATGAATCTAATCATAAAATTTTAGAGCTTGGTGGAGATTTATGGTTTAGCTACTTCAGTTCCTTTTTACTGAGATGCAGGAATTTAAGCCCAGAGAAGTTCACTTACATGCCTGAAGTCAGAAAGGTTGTTAGCTGCAAAACCAGTGCTGAAATTCCAGTGTCTAATCCTGAACTAGTCTCCTTTTGAATGTATTACTCCACCCCTTAAGAATATAATGGGTATTATGTTCTGTTGATACAGTAAAGGGTAAATGCTATGGAGTTGAGCTGATAAAGGAAATTCTCAACTTTTAACCTTCACAGGCCCTGTTTGTGGGCTCCCAGGGAAGCTATTACTTTAACATTTACCAAAGTCAAAATGACTCCAAAAAACCTCAAAGCATGGCTCTATTTCTGCCTTGAGCATACATTGTACATCTGCTTCCAATAAATAAATTAAAAACTAACTAACCAAAAAGGAGCATTCTAAACATAAAGATAAGGGGGGAAAAAATCCCTGCTTCTCATAAGATTAAAGTCATGCAGTTTGCACATACTAAAAACATAAGATAAAGTCTGTAACTTTCTGGAATGTCCTTCATCATGATGATTTGTCTCTTTACGTAAAGAACATAGATAACCCTGCACCAAATGTAGCCTCCCCAGAGCACTCTCTTCTTTGTGAAGACTGTGTATCCCAGGCAGCTGTCCTAACTTGGGCCCAAGTGAAATATTTTTCCCTTCTCTTTAAAATTTTTAAAAAGTTTTGTTCATTTTGTATCAAAAAGGTGGATGAAGATATAATTCTAGTGCTGACACACTTGCTGGTTGAGAAATCCTTACTTCATTTTTTTTTTTTTTTCCATCTGTTAAATGGCAATGACATTCTGCTTGAAAGGATCATCCTGAGGCAGTATATGGGAACTTTCTAAGGAAGTGATATGCTGCCTAAGTTGCACTTATGCTCTGACGTTCTGTAAAGTCTCTGCATACATATTGTAAATCTGAAACTATTTTAAAATAACAAATGAAAGACAAACAAATGTAGGGATAACAGCCAACCAGCTCCCAACAGCCTACAGAGGTCCCCACAAAGAAGAGTCCCTTGTTTAATCTGTTTGTTTAAGTCATTTGAGTATGACCATTAGTGGAATATATTTACAACAATATTTCACTAATGTCCTACACCCAACTAAAAGCTTCTACTAAACCAGGAGTATTCCTATTTTGAATATATTGGAAATGTTTTTTCTCTCTCTCTATATATATATATTTTTCCATTGGTATATTTAATGGGATTATGTTAGCTTTTGATCCATTAGTTATGACCATTAGTGTTCATATTCTCTCTATATAATAAAAAGTTTATATTATCAACTATATAATAACATATACAATTTATATATTATAATAAAATATGAAAGCCCTTAAATAAACCCAGACTTCAACACTCTAAACTAAAGCAGAATACTTATTGTTTAACTTAATTTTTATTTTATGATATTTTTAAGATTTTATTTATTTACAGAAAGAGAGGGAAAGGGAGTGTGAGAGGGAGAAGCAGACTCCCTGCTGAGCAGAGCCCAATGTGGGACCCGATCCTAGGACCCTAAGATCATGACCTGAACTGATGCTTAACCAGTTGAGCCACCCAGGCACCCCTACTAATTGTTTAATTTGTAATGTTAGATAAAAATTCCATACTGCTTTTGATGCTTAATATTTTCATAGTTACCTAAGAAAAAAAGGAAAATAAGGGAAAAAAAGCTATCAGAGATTCAGAAGAAATAACAATAGAAAAGAATTAACAAAATGAGAAATAATCTTTTGGGTCTCTTCACTGACTAAAGTTGAGTTTACCCTTTAAATTACATGAGACCAGGGCGCCTGGGTGGCTCAGTTGGTTAAGCGACTGCCTTCGGCTCAGGTCATGATCCTGGAGTCCTAGGATCGAGTCCTGCATTGGGCTCCCTGCTCGGCGGGGAGCCTGCTTCTCCCTCTGGCCCTCCCCCTCTCATGTGCTCTCTGTCTCTCTCATTCTGTCTCAAATAAATAAATAAAATCTTAAAATAAATAAATAAATAAATAAATAAATAAATAAATAAATAAATAAATAAATTACATGAGACCATGAAATATATTAGGAATTTTAAGAGAAAATAATGATGAAAAGTACTCTGAGTCATAACTAGGGTTTTTAAGTGGGCTCATGTATCAAACATGAGCAACATTCTCTCAAAGTTCTATCAGAAGATACATCTTCAAAGTTTCCTTGCAAGGTAAAATATTATTTAAAAGGTAATAGAGAAATAGGATGATAAAAGGAAAACCTAATGGACTAAACTAAGAAATTGCTATTATCACTTGTTGCTCCTAGTGTAGTACTTTTGGAAATCTTCTTTTTGTAAGGAAGAGGCTGAGCAAATAATCTCTTAATTTTATTTTTTGTGATTAGATTAGAATTGCACAGTGGGCTTAGAAATCACCCACAACTCTGAATATGACTTCATTTCATACCAAATTCCTTCCCGATCAAATTACCTTTGAAATTGATGATTCATCTTGAAATTAGGCCCATAAAGCCCTTAATTGAGTTGGTCAAATTGAAATCTTGTCAAAAATTTTATAAAGTTATTGTTGAATGAAAAACCTTTCACTATAAACAAACTGTGGAACAATTAAAAAAAAAAAACAACCTGCAAATACTTGGAAAAATTTTCCAAGTAAAAGAACAGAGAGAAACTGATGACAGAACCTTCTTAGTAATATCCTACCAAAACAAATATGAATAAGGAAGGAAAGACAGTAGCAGAAATTCGATACCTACCATTATATCTTAACAGGTCTACAAAGAAAGCACATTTAAAAATCATTACTGCTCTTAAACTCTATAATAGCTATCCTTTTCCCAGTATTAGAGGGGAAGGAAGGTGAGCGGTCAAAATCTGACATTCATTCTTATTACCACCCAAAATGGTATTGTAGAAGGCTCATCTTGGGTAGGTAGGCAGGGAATATACAAAGAGAAGCTGAAAACTCCTCTAGCACAGATGTATAACTTTACCATTCAAAGTGTCACTGCTGCTATCCATCACTATTCTTTAAAGCTAAGAGGAAAGTTAGAAAAAGCAGCTAGTTTAAATTGCCCTTGAGACTTTCTCTTCAACTCATGCATTAGATAGATGTGTTTTGTTTTTTTTTTTAATTTCTAAATAACTGGGAGATTTTCTGGCTACCTCTCTGTTAATTTAGCTTAATGTTGTTACAGTCCAAAAACATATTTTGCATAATTTCTGTTCTTTTCAATTGATTAAGGATTTATACTCAGGGATGCAGTCTACCTAGATGTATGTTCCATGTGCACTTGAGAAGAATGTGTATTCCACTATTGTTAGATGGTTCCAGAACTCTCAAATGGATCCAAGTGATGGATAGTATTTTTTGGGTTCTCTATTTCTTTATTGGATTTCTGGCTACTTGTTCTCTCAGTTTTTGAGAGGCATATTGATGTCTCCAGTTACAGTTACAAATTCATCTATTTGTCCTTTCATTTCTATCCATTATTTCCCCGTGTATTTTGATGCTCTGTTGACACATGCATACAAATTTGGTAAAATTATCCCTTTTTATCATTATGTATTGCTCCCACCTATCCCTGAAAAAATTTATTGTACTGAAGTATAATTTGTCTGAAATAGTTATTCCAGATTTCTATTGGTTAATAATCGATTGCATCTTTCTCCATCCTCTTACCATAACATATTCATATGTTATATTTGTAGTGGATTTCTTATTGACAACATATAGTTGGATCATTACTTATTTTTTAATGTAAAATTCTCCTTTAACTTGTGGGTTTAGATCATTGACATTCCCAATGATTATTGATGTGGTTGGGTTATCTGGTAGCATCTTGTTGTTTTCTATCTTCTCCATTTGGTCCTTGTATCTTTTTCTCTTTTCTGCCTTCTCTGGTTTTAATTTAGCAGTTTTTAATGAGTCCATTTAATCTAATTAATTTATTGGTTATATTATTTAAACATATATTTTACTGGTTGCTCTGGGTTTTAAACATACATTTAAAAATAACCTGCAACTACTATAGCATAATATTATACCACCTCATGTTCAGTGTAAACAATTTTTATGTGAAAACCATTCCCTCTCCCATCCCTTGGGCCATTGTTGACCTGAATTTTATTCTGTAAACACCTAACATATAATTTGGCCTGTTTTCATCAGTTATGTTTTAGAAAAACTGCGAAAAAGAAAAAAAATACTGTATTTACCTCTATTTTTTCCATTTTCAACGTTCTTCACATCTTACTAACAGTCTCATTTTCTGATTGATCTCATGCCTTTTTCCTAAAGACCTTTCTCTAACATTTTTTGCACATTAGGCTTAATAGCAATGGATTCCCTTAGTTTTTGTTTCCTTGAAAGTATTTATTTCTCTGTAAACTCTCAAGAATGTTTTCACTGTATAAAGAATGCTATGTTGACAGTTTTTTTTTTTTCTTTCAGCACATGAAGATACCACTGTTTTGTCTTGTTTGTATGGTTTCAGATGAAAAGATTGCTGTAATTCTTAATACTTGTCCTTCTGTAAATAGTATTTTGTTGTTGTTGTTCTGGCAGCTGTTAACATTTTCTCTTTGTCCTTGGTTGCCATTAGTCTTCAATGGTTTAAATATAATATGCATAATTTTGTTGTTTCTTGGATTTGTGGTTTAAGGTCTAATTTTGGAAATTCTTCAGTATTTTTTTCTTCTATACTCTTTCCTGTTAATCTACTTTTAAGATTCTGATTACACATAGGTTGAACTCTGATACTGTCACAGTGAAAATAACTGCTAGAGGGAGGGAGATTATCTCTGACCAAATGTTAACAACAACAAAAAAATCTATGCGTGATTAGGAGTGAATTACAATACAAGCTTTTTGATATTACAGGTAACAGAGAAGTTATCCTTGTCATTTTGTATCATTGGGAATGCATTTGCTAAGAATTTCTCACCAGAAATATAATGGAAGTCCAGAGATAGAGCTCCACACCAATTCAGAACATCAGAGCTGCTATTTGGAACTCACATTTCAGACTCCTTGAATGTTAGCTTGATTTCTAGGCTTATTATTTCAAATCGTGGGCATCTCCCATTTAACTGAAGGGATAGTTTTATTTTCATCATTTTCTTTTTAATTTAAAGGATAGGGCCTTTTCCGTAAATTATCCCCTCAGCAAACTTTTTCTTTGTAACATTAATCAATCAAGATTGACTAAAGTATCTATCTGCTCACTTGGAGAGGGGGAAAGCTAATGTCTGACATTAATAGCTTTTATAGTAAAAATCAGGCAGGAAAATATGTAGATTAAAAGTTTGCACCCAAAAAACAAATAATCCAATCAAGAAATGGGCAGAAGACATGAACAGACATTTCTCCAACGAAGACCTCCAAATGGCCAACAGACACATGAAAAAATGCTCAACATCACTTGGCATCAGGGAAATACAAATCAAAACCACAATGAGATACCACCTCACACCAGTCAGAATGGCTAAAATTAACAAGTCAGGAAACGACAGATGTTGGCGAGGATGAGGAGAAAGGGGAACCCTCCTACACTGTTGGTGGGAATGTAAGTTGGTATAGCCACTCTGGAAAACAGTATGGAGGTTCTTCAAAAAGTTGAAAATAGAGCTACCCTATGACCCAGCAATTGCACTACTGGGTATTTACCCCAAAGATACAAATGCAGTGATCCGAAGGGGTATGTGCACCCCGATGTTTATAGCAGCAATGTCCACAATAGCCAAACCATGGAAAGAGCCTAGATGTCCATCGACAGATGAATGGATAAAGAAGATGTAGTATATATACACAATGAAATATTATACAGCCATCAAAAATATGAAATCTTGCCATTTACAATGACATGGATGAGACTGGAGGGTATTATGCTGAGCGAAATAAGTCAATCAGAGAATGCTATGTATCATATGATCTCACTGATATGAGGATTTTGAGAAACAAGGCAGAGGATCATAGGGGAAGGGAGGGAAAAATGAAACAAGATGAAACCAGAGAGGGAGACAAACCATAAGAGACTCTTAATCTCAGGAAACAAACTGAGGGTTGCTGGAGTGGAGGCGGATGGGAGAGATAGGGTGGCTGGGTGATGGACATTGGGGAGGGTATATACTATGGTGAGCACTGTGAATTGTGTAAGACTGATGAATCACAGACCTGTACCCCTGAAACAAATAATACGTGATATGTTAATAAAAAAGTTTAAAAAATGGAGTAACAACAACAAAAAGTTTTCAATTATGTAAGTATTGGTACTACTAAACACTTTTCCCCAAAATCACTTGCAATGGAAGAGATGGATAAAATATATAGTACTTAACCTCTCAAGTCACAATTTCAAGTTAAAATTGCACATCCATGTAATCCAAGACATTTGTCCTTATCACCTCAGTGACATCATCCTGGTTCATGCCATGGAGATATCTCAATAACTGTGCTCTCAAGTTCAAACCATAATACCCATACTCGATTCTTGTCTTATGGTATTTTACCAGGTATGTGGTATAGGGACTAGGATTATATTTTATGTCTGTCCTTCCCTTGATAAAATGCAAGCTGAATTAGGGTAGGGATATTTGGAATTATTTTTCATTGTGTATTCTAATGATAGGAATAATCACTGGAACCTAATAGGTAATCATAAATGTTAAATAAATTGATGAATGTTTTACAGAAAAACTGTATTTTGATAGGATTTCTAATCTTCAGTATACATTTTTGGAAAAGATATGTGAGGACAACTATGAAAAAATGCTACCTAAGGATAAAAAGGAAAATGAATGAAATGTCAGATAAATACCTTTTGGAAATGAAACCTAAGAAACAGATATTTGCTTTCATTTGTTGTATAATGGAAAAATGTAAAAAGAAAATAAATTTTTAAAAATGGAATGAAATAAAAAGGATCTTGGCAAGCTAAGTACACTAAGAATGAGAAAAAAATCACTGCTGAACAAATAACTAATTTAGTAACTAAGAAACAGACACAGATAGAAAATAATTTGGTAACACAGAACGAAATAATTATAGTTAATGCAAAGGAAAAAGATGGGATAAAAATGATCAAAACAAAACAATAATAGCAATTTAATATGAGTTGCTAACCATTTAAAGAACAATAAAAAATAATTTTGCAATAGCAAATCTAACCACTTACAGAACAATAAAAAAATTAGCAAAATTTCAGAAAACTGAAATTTTAATTCAAAGGGACAAAAGTGTTTCAGTAAAATTGTCATAAAATAACTAACACTGACAAAACCATTTGGCATGTTTAGGTTTTAAATATATATATATGTTTAGGCATTCTGTCAAAAAAAAATCCCCTAACAACCATAAAAGGAAGACTTCCTTTAGATTTTGTCACAGAACCATGCAAGTTCAAAGTAGAGAAATATCTCTAAATTTCCAGTGAAAATAAATGGAGTGATAACTGTGAAATCGTGGGGTAAAAACACTCCAAAAAATCAATAAAAGCAGCCAAAAACTCAGAATCAAATTTCTCAGAACTCTGAAGACTTCAGCAATGAGGTAACGTTTCATCAAGAAAAATGGCTGAATCTCAGCATCAACAACATGCTTTGTGGTGTTTAATCCACCACTCTACAGTTCAGCAGTAGACTTGAAAAGATAATAGGCCATATTACTGGTTTCAGAGGAAGCAAAACAGCACCATAGCTGTTTCCAAACTTGATTTCCAAAGAATAGTAATTACTTGACCTGCGTAGTGGTTCTCTGGAAAACTCTACTCAAATAGCTTATTTTAATTTCACCTCACTTGAACTTGCTGAGTGCCTTTAAAAGCTTCTCCCCAAGAGGTATTTGTCAAATATTTTAACATCCTGATTGCCTAAAGTGATTTATAAGAGTTGGGGCAGACAGCAGATTAACCAAAATCTTAAAAGGGAAAGGTGAAGAATGAGATGTCTATAGGGGCTTTAAAAATCTCTGATATATTCCTGGGAAGCATCATTCATTCATAGCGTTGTTCTCATGTACAGGAAAAATACATGAGAAGCTCTTCAGGTCTCACCTCTGATATTCCCTGAGGCTCTGCATAGCTAAATCTGGGTTTAAAGTTCCTGGTTGGGTGTGGTCACGCAGAGCCCCTCAGCAAAGAGTGGAAGACTTATTTGTTCTAGGAATTTAAAAAAAAAATCCCTATTTAGTTATTATCTGATCACTAAGCAAACTAAGTAGAGACTTTAATGGCCACACATTATAAAGAAACACTTTAAAATTTGTTCAGAAATGTCATTAACCAAATAATAAAAGCAAACAACACTAGTAACAAACCCTGGGTAGGAGGAGTATCTGATTTCCAGATTGTACCTTACGGTATTTGAAATGTACATTTTTCATCAAAACATCATGATATATACAGCTATTTTAAATGTGTTCAAAGAGCTAAAGGAGACCATGTCTAAATAACTAAAGGAACATATGGGAATATTCTCTCAACAAATACAGAATATCAATAAGGAGAGAGAAATTATAACAATGGATCAAATAGATATCCTGTAGTTGAAAACTAAAATAACCGAAATAAAAAATTCAGTAGAAAAGATCCACAGCAGATCTGTGCAAGTAGAAGAATCAGCAAACATGACAAAAGATAAATTCAGACTGTGCAGTCTGAGGAACAGGCAAAGAAAAATGAAAACAGTAAATAGAGTCTCAGATACCTATGGGATACCATCAAATGTAGCAAACACAAGTGTACCCATTAAAAGGACTAACGGCAGAAAGAGATATATATTTTTTAAAGATTTTATTTATTTATTTGACAGAGTGAGCACAAGCGGGGGGGGCAGGCAGAGGGAGAGGGAGAAGCAGGCTCCCCACTGAGCAGGGAGCCAGATGCGGGGCTCAATCCCAGGACCCTGGTATCATGAGCCAAGCCGAAGGCAGATGCTTAACCAACTGAACCACCCCAGAAAGAGATATTTCAACAGTATTTGGACACTTCAATACCCAACTTTCAATAATGTATAATACAAATAGGTAGACAATATCAAGGAAATAGGAGATTTGAACAAGCCAACTAGAACTAATAGACACTCTACCCAACAAGAGAACACACATTCTTCTCAAATGCTCAAAGAACATTTTATAGGATAGACCATATGTTTGTTCATAAAACAAGCCTCAAAAAAATTTAAAGGATGGAAATCATATAAAGTGTGTTCTCCAAACACATTAAAGGAAATTAGAAATCAATAACAAGGAAATTTAGGAAATTCAAAAATATTTGTTATTAACAAATTAACCAAGGAGTCAAATAATAAACCACAGTGGAATTACAAAATACTTTGTAATATCAACATTTAATGCATGCAATAAAGTTAGTGCTTAGATGGACATTTATAGCTGTAAATGCCTCCAATAAAAAAGATCCCAAATCAGTAACCTAATCTCCAACTTTAATAAAGTAGTAAAAGAACTGCAAACAAAGTCCAAAGCAAGCAAAAGAAGCAGTAAATATTAGAGAAAAAAAAAAAGATAAAATACAGAAAAAAATAAAACAAAAAACTGATTCTTTGAAAAGATCCATACAGTTGATGACTCTAGCTACACCAACCAAGAAAAAAAGAGAAAAAATTTAGTTGTTTAAATCAGGGACTAAAAATGGATCGTAACTACAGACTTTACAGAAATATAAGTGGATGTTAAGGAAAAGCTTTAAACAAATATATGCCAAACAGTTAAACAACAGTGAGTACATTTCTAGGAAGACACACATTACCAAATCTTAAGATGAAAAATAAAATCTGAATAGATGTATAACAAGTAAACAGATTGAATTAATAATAATAATAATAATAATAATAATAATAATAATAATAATAAACTTCACATGAAGAATCACTCAGGACCAGATGACCTCACTGGTGAAGTCAACCAAACATTTAGAAGAGTGACACTAATACTTCCTAAACACTTATTTTTTTTAAAAAGCAGACATATAGGAACACTTCTTAGATATTACTGATTTGGGATCTTTTTTATTGGCAACATTACAGCTATAAATGTCCATCTGAGCATCAATTTTATTGCATAAGTATTGATATTATATATATATTATATTGATATAAGTATTGATATATATATATAAGTATTGATATATATATATATTATATATATATTATATGTATATATATATATTATATATATATTATATGTATATTGATACATACTACAACATCAATATATATATATATGAGAGACTCAGAATAGCTGCCCAAATCTAGAAAAAGTAGATAAAGGACTCATACTTCCCAACTTCAAAACCCAACACAGCTACAGTAGTAAAGAAAGAGTGTTACTAACATAAGAATAGACAAATCAATGGAGTGGAATTTAAAATCCAGACATAAAACCAACCTCACTTTTATGGTCAATTGATTTTCACCAAGAGTGCTAAGAAAATTTAATGGGGAAAATAATCATCTTTTAAACATACCATCTTTCTTTTTATCTAGCTGCTGGGACAACTAGATATTCACATGCAAAGGAATGAACCTGAACCCCTATCTTACACCACATATAAAAATTAACTCAAAAGTGATCAAATATCTAAATTAATTTTAATAAGATAAAATTATAAAACTCTTAAAACATACATGCAAATCTTTGCAACATTGGATTGGGGAACAGTTTTTTTAGATAGGACACCAAAAATGAAGCAACCAAAGAAAAAATAAGGTAAACTGGAACTCATCAAAGTTTTGTGTATCAAAGGATACTATGATAGTAAGATAATCCACAGAATGGAAGAAAATATTTGCAAGTCATACATAAGACAAAAGTCTAGTATCCAAAATATATGGAGAACTCTTACAGCTCAACATAACAAGATAAACCCATTAAAACTGGGGAAGTATTTGGATAGATATTTCTCCAAAGAATATATTCAAATGGCCAACAAGCACATGAAAATGTACTCAACATCATTTTCATTAGGAAATACCAATCAAAATAATACATAATGTGCTACTACTTCACACATAAAAGAATGGTATAATAATGTAAAAACAAATATAAAACAAGATATGGAGTAACTGGAACTCTCATACATTGCTGGTGAAACTATGATTTCAGCCAAAAGATAAAACAGTTTGGCAGTACCACAAAAGGGTAGAATTATTATATAATCCCATGTTCCACTTCTTCATATATAGAAATTATATAACAAAGAATTAAAAAATAGGTATTCAAACAGAAATTTATAAATGAATGTTAGAACGTTATCACAAAGCCAAAAGATGGAAGCATCCTAAGGGTCCATAGGGTATGAAAAATATATATATATTAATATGAATATATATGTATATATATTTCAAATATATATTATTGCATGTTATATATTTATAAATATATTTTATATATGAATAGATTATATTTAAAATTTTTATAATTGTATAATATATTAATATAACAGTATATTAATAATAAATTTATATATTTATATAAAATTCACCCATTTTATGGATATATATGATTATTGTTTACCCATCAAAGAAAATAAACAATTGATACATACTACAACATCAATGAACCTTAGAATCATTATGCTGTGAAAGAAACCAAAAGGCACATATTTTATAATTCCATTGTATGAGATATTCAGATTAAGCAAATCCATATAGTCAGAAAGTATATTTTCCCCCTAGTGGCCAAGGGGAAGGGGGGTAGAAACTGATAACTGGTATGGGGTTTCTTTTTGAAGTATTAAAAATATCCTAGAATTACTTAGGATGGTTGTATAGCCTTGGCAATATACTAAAAACCATTCATTTGTTCACTTTAAAGTGGTGGATTTTATGTAATTATAATTTTATATATTTATATAAATAAATATTTATGTATGTAAGTATGTATATATATTTATATTACAATAAATATAAATATACCCATACACACATGCAAAGTTGAGCAAAAATCTAATACTATACCTGTCACAATTCTTAGGACAGTAGCATGAAAATAGCACTAATTGTGAGTGCTATATGAGCTCAGGAAATATCACAATCATAGGACATTTACAGGAAGGTCAATAAGAGATACCTGAAAATGTTGCATTTTTAATATGGAATATATATAAATACAGAATTAAAGCTAAAGAGTTATAAGAATTATGAATAACAGAATATAATAGACTGACTCATACAGGATAGCTGATATAAGAAATGTTTCATCTACAAAAATACCAATTTCATACAGTGTAACTCAATAAATGTCATAGACAAAGTAAAACTTATATTGAATAAAGTATAGAGAAGAGGTGACAGAAAATGATAGTATGTCAATTTCCGTATTTTTCCTAATGATGTAACAAATTATTTAGTCAAAACTGATAACTGCAGGGCAATTTTAATATCTTATTTAAAATGATAAACATTAAAAATAAAGTAAGCTACAGTAACCGTAAAAGAACAAAATATAATTAATGATTGAGACTTTGAAAGTGGAAGAGTGGTAAGGAATTTTAAGAGTTTTTTAATCTTACATTCTTAAAAAAAAAAAAAAGTAACTAAATATTTGACACCAGAAAAAGAATAAGAACCTAAATAGAATGGAATCAACAAAAGAGAACTGAACCAAATTCATGTTAGACTTTAATATATAATTATATTTGAATTCTTCAGTTGGTGGCAAAAATTTGGAATTTTCATTGGATTTCAATGTTTTTATCATAACTAGTTATTTGTTCAGGGATAAAAGATGGTTCTCATCTTCCTTGTGTGTGTCAAAGCTATGTAATTACAGATGATTTGTAAAAGAAATCATAAATGCAATTCATTTTATATGTTGCATATTATACATTCAGTATTTAGTATTATGTTTTTGGAAAGAAATATAATACCAATCAAAATGTAAAATGTATATTATTTTCTATACAACAATGTAACTCCTAGAAACTTATCCTGGATATTCACACAAAAAAATAGGGCAACACTGAAATGTACTCACAGAATTTTTCATAATATCCAAAATTTGGAATTGACTTAAATGACCATTAGTAGCAAATTACTTTTTTTGAAAAGTGTGTGGAGTATAAATGAAGATTTATTTACTAATTTTGGAATATGAGCTGGAGTGACAGGGATCTTCAGATTTCTATGGGAGCAAAAGTGCTGGCAGATTCCCTTTCTCTTCCTCTCCCCCAGTTTAGATAGCAGGAACCAGCCCTGATACTACATCTATCTTGCTAGTACTACATGCCCCACCTCCATGTTGCCCTCAGACTCACAGCATCCACCCTACCAGCCTCAGCAGGCTCCCTCCAAAGTGGTTCCTATCCTGCCATACCCTGGAAGCAGCCTTTGCAGAAATCTGCACCACCTTAAAGTGACTCCTGCCCTGTGGAGGGGGAAAATAAGTCCACACACCAGTGCCCCTGCAGTTCCTGCAGCCAGGCTTCTTAGCTGGCTGCACAGGGAGAAAGACCTGCTATTCTATGTGGCAAAGAGGTGGATTGAGACACCTAGTCTGACTCCTGGCCTCTACCACATAGAGCCTGCAGTGGTCTCAGGCCTCTCAACAACACTGGACCAAACCCAGCCCAGTGCACACACAGCAGGCAAACTGGGTCAGAGCAGCAAACTGCGCTAAGGATAACCATGACCCAGTCACAACAGTAGGGTGCACAGAGACCACACAAGAGATACCCTAGATATCTGGTTCTGGTGACCAAGGGGGTTTGTACTAACAGGGGACCATAGGACCTCTTCTACACTGGGCCACTACTTTCAAGACCAGGAGATGTAGCTGACATCCATAATACATAAGAAACAAACACAGAGAGTTGGTAAAAATGAGGAGACAGAGGAATCTGTCTCAAATGAAAGTACAAGACAGTATCACAGCAAAACATCTAAATGAAACACAAATAAGCATTATGCCTGATAAAGAATTCAAAGTAATCATCATAAAGATATTCACTGCACTTGAAAAAAGAGTAAATGAACTCAGTGAGACCTTCAGCAAAGAGATGGAAAATATAAAAAAGAATCAGTCAGAACTAAAGAATTCAATAACTGAAATGAAAAAAATACACTAGAGGGAACCAACAGATTAGAGGGTGTAGAAAAATGAATCAGCAATCTGGAAGACTTTTAGAAAGCTTTTAGAATGCATTCAAATTTAAGTAGTCATCAACTCTATTATAGGCTGCTATACACATAATATGTTATATATGAACCTAACGATAACCACAAATCAAAAACCTATAATAGATACACAAAAAAATAAAGAGAAAGGAATCTAAGTATAGCACTAAAGGAAGCCTTCAAGCCACAAGGGAAAAGAGCAAGAGGAGAAGAAAGGAACAGAGAGGAACTGCAAAGCAACCAGAAAATAATTAACAAAATGCCAGTAAGTACATACCTATCAATAATTTCTTTAACTCTTCATGGAATAAATGCTCCAATCAATAGATACAGAGTGACTAAATAGAAAAAAAAAATAAGACCCATTGATAATGCTGCCTATAAGAGACTCATTTTAGACCCAAAGATACCTCCAGATTGAAAGTGAGGGGGTAGAGAACAATTTGTCTTATTAATGGATGTAGAAAGAAAGTTGGAGTAGCCAACCTTTTATCAGACAAACTGGATTTTAAAACAGACTATAAGAAGAGATTAAGAAGGACACTATAGAATAAAGGGGTCTATCCAACAAGAAGATCTATCAATTGTAAATATTTATGCCCCTAACTTGGAAGCAGCCAAATATATAAATCAATTAATAATAAACTTAAACTAATTGATAATAATACATTAATAGTAGGGGACTTTAAAACCCCACTCACAGCAATGGACTGATCATCTAAGCAGAAGATCAACAAGGAAACAGGCTTTAAATGACTCACTGGACCAGATGGACTTAACAGATATATTCAGAGCATTTCATCCTAAAGCAACAGAATACACACTCTTTCTGAGTGCATATGGAATATACTCCAAATTAGATCACATACTGGATCACAAATCAGGCCTCAACTGGTACAAAAATACTGAGATCATACCATGCATATTTTCAAACAACAATGCTATGAAACTTAAAGTCAACCACAAGAAACAACTTGGAAGGAACACAAATACATGGAGGTTAAAGAACATCCTACTAAAGAATGAATGGGTCAA